TTGCGCTTCGTTTTCTCCATATGTTCATTAGTCCCTTTTGCATTATCCACTATCCTTATTCGCTCTTACGCTTACCACCCTTTGTCTTGTCAGGTTTTCGGTCACCCTTATTATACCGTAGGTCTACCTTATGCGTCGAGTATTTATGCGAAGTCGAACATGATTGCCAGCGTGAAGCTGAGTGTTCGAATAGTATCGTTGTATTCCAAGTCATCATCACCACCAGCTTATCAGTTATCAAGTAATTATCGTTAGCACCTTGTCAGTAATCGAATAATTACCACCGCCAACTTGTCAGTCTGTCATTAATCGTCACCCACTTGTCAACTCCTTATTCGGCTCAATAGATGATAAAGTATAATACTTCCTTTTTCTTTGTCAAGTTGGCGAAGTTCATTCAATTTGCATGTTTGTCTTTTACCTTTGTTTTTTTTTTTTTTTTTTTTTTTTTTTTTTTTTTTTTTTTTTTTTCTTTCTTTCTTTCCTAGTCCTTTGACCTCTGACCTTTCCCTTACCTCAGGATCGTAATCCATTTTCTTTCCACCCTTTTCATTTATCACGCCACCTGTGTCTAATCGCTTTTCGCCCTTTCCTTTTTATTATTTCGTTTTCCTGTGTCAGTCTTTCGCCAGAGTCTGTTGTGTTTTCAGGCTTGTTTCTCTCTTCATCCTCACTTGTTGACGTTGCAATTCTACTTCGTTTTCTATTCATACTAGTCTGTTTTTATTTTTATTCATTCCTGTGTGATATTTTTTCAGTCCTAGTAGGTTTTCTATTAATTCCCTCCTGTTATTTTTCAATCCTATTCCGTTTTCTATCCAGTCTCGTCTGTTATTCCTTCCTTATTGCTTTCCTCTTCACCTCATTCCACGCCCCCGCTTCCTCTGGACTCTCCCTTCCCCGTTATGCAATTTCCTCTCGTTTTCCACGTCTTTGCTCGTCCCCCTTTCCTCCTTTCCTTTATCCTTCCTTTCGTCTTTGCTATTCCTCTATCTCCTGGGGCCACCTCGACAAGTTCTCTCCGTTCCCCTTTCATCCCTTTCCGCGTCCTCTTCACCTCTTTTTTCCACCCACATCCTCTTTCCCCTCCTCCTTCCCCTTCCTTCTTCTCCTCCTCCTCCTCCTCCTCCTCCTCCTCCTCCCCCTCCTACTCCTCCTCCTCCTCCTCCTCCTCCTCTTCCTCATCCATCGCCTCCTGTTTCTTTCCTCCTTCCTCTTGGCGCTTCACCCTTGATCCCATCCTACCTGTAAGGTCCAGCCGCGTGTGTTGGTAAATATAACCGGCTCAGAGAGGACACGAAGTGCTCACTAAATCCGTTTTATTATGTTATTGCATTCCCTCTCCGGGTGGCTTGCATAGAAGCGTCCGGGGATGGTCAAACAAGATTGGTCCTTATGGGAGGGTGTCCGTAGAAGCTATAATTGCAGACCGGCCGCCGCGGCAACATAAACATGTCCTGATGTATCCCATTTAAGGAAGTTGTTGTGGCTTCGAAATCTTATTTCTTGTCGAAATATTGCTCTTCGGATAAGTGTGTTTAGTGGTATCTTGATCTGTGATTGGCGTTTTTTCTCTCTCTTTCCGCTGTCTCTCAAATGGCCATTGCAACAGAATTTATTAATGGCATAAAATCTCTCTCTCTCTCTCTCACTCTTACTCTCTCTCTCTTTCTCTCTCTCTCTCTCTCTCTCTCTCTCTCTCTCTCTCTCTCTCTCTCTCTCTCTCTCTCTCTCTCTCTCTCTCTCTCTCTCTGTATGTCCTTTTTTCCCCCTTTCTTTCTTACTTCTCTCTCTCTCTCTCTCTCTCTCTCTCTCTCTCTCTCTCCTCTCTCTCTCTCTCTCTCTCTCTTTCTCTGTATGTCCTTTTTTCCCCCCCTTTCTTTCTTACTTCTCTCTCTCTCTCTCTCTCTCTCTCTCTCTCTCTCTCTCTCTCTCTTCTCCTCTCTCTCTCTCTCTCTCTCTCTCTCTCTCTCTCTGTATGTCCTTTTTCCCCCTTCTTTCTTACTTCTCACTCTCTCTCTCTCTCTCTCTCTCTCTCTCTCTCTTCTTCTCTCTCTCTGTATGTGTGTGTGTGTGTGTCTCGCTCTCTCTCTCTCTCTCTCTCTCTCTCTCTCTCTCTCTCTCTCTCTCTCTCTCTCTCGCTCGCTCGCTCGCTCTCTCTCTCTCTTTCACATTGATTGTTTGGCAAATTCGAGGTTGTGATGTCATAGACCACAAGCACATTTAGGCCTGTACACGCACACGCACAGACGCATTCACTTCACCCGCCCGGAACCATCACCTCTCCACGCAATCGCCCCGATGAGATACCAACACATTCATTCCAACACTGTTATCATTGATCAAACAAAAATGGAACACCCGTTGTGAAATCGCTTTACAAAATCCCTGGTTCGAAATTTTCATCTGATCGTAACGAAAGAAAAACGCATTCGGGACCAGCATGTGTCCGTTCTGCGCTCGTGGTTTGTGATAGAAACCTTGATAAAAGCGTATTTTTAAACCTCCAGAGCGAATCGGGTCCTCCATGCCATCTGTTTTTTTTTCTAATTTCTTCCCCAATTATTAGAATTTTACACCTTTAATATGATGATTTTCTCTCTCTCTCTTTCTCTCTCTCTCTCTCTCTCTCTCTCTCTCTCTCTCTCTCTCTCTCTCTCTCTCTCTCTCTCTCTCTCTCTCTCTCTCTCTTTTTGCTGCAACAGGCCATAGGACTGTTTTAACTTACTGGTGTCTTCTTTTTCAAATACACTAAGTAGTCCAAAAAAAAACTATTTTGAGAAAGAAAGAAAGAGACAAAGGCAAAAACAGAATGAGAGAGACGGAGAAAAAGAAATGAAGAGAGAGAGTGAGAGAAATAAAAAGATGGAAAGAAATAAAAGGTAATGAAAGAGAGCTCAAGATAGCAGGCGCCATCTGAAAGAAGATCGAAGAGAGTCCAAAGCAGTAAGTTTTACGGGAGAACTCCAGGAATGAATGAGCCAGCTGTACGGGGCCTCGGCCAAGGGGTTCACTCGGACCGGGCGTGGGCCACCTCGCCCGTCGGAGAAAAAAACGAGAAAAAATAACAGGGGCAATAAAGATGAAAAGGAAAAGAGCGAAGGAGAAGAATATGGTAATAAAATATAAAGAACGAGTAAATAGAAATAAAAGATAAAATAGTACCAACACGGGTTTCCACGGAGTAGATAGATAAATTGAAGGCAGTGAAATAACGTTTACGCTTCTGTTTTTTCGTTTTTTTTTTATCCGATAGATGTTTTCTGTTGGCCTAACCCAGTCCAGGAATTTTTAATAAAGGAAACATTTGCCGCCAAATATACGTCCGTCCCATAAATCCTTTAAGAGTATCAGGGGAGGAGGAGGGGGAAGATAGGGGGGGTAAGGGGAGGGGGAGAAGGAGAATGTAAAGGGAGAGTGAATAAGGGGAAGGAGAGAAGGAGAATGGAAAGGGAGAGGAAGGGGAAGGTGGGGGGAGTAAGTGGAGGGGTGAGGGAAGGCGGGGGAGTAAGGGGAAGAGGGAGAAGGAAATAGAAAGGGAGAGGGAAGGGAAGGTGGGGGAGTGAGGGAGGTGGTGGTAGGTGGGGGAAGGAAGGGGAGGAAAACGACATGGGAGGGGGAGTTAAGGGAGGTGAAAGGGGGGGATTAAGTTGAGGATGAGGGGGGGGGAGTTGGGTTGGAATAGAGATGAGATGTAAAGGGAAGGAATTGGGGAGGAGGTCGACGCTGAATGAAGGGAGGATGAGGAGTTAGTATGGTGAAGATGAGGATGGATGAGTCAAGGGGGGGAGGAGGGGGAAGATAAGGGTTGGAGGTCGTTGGACTTCGGAAACATTACACTCGGGAGCGTTCTGAAGCGACGGGGAATTCAGTGCAATACATGTTACACTCATGAATATTTACATGCACTTCATGGAACTTCCTGTGTTCATTTTTTTCCTCTCCCTCTCCCTCTCCTCTCTTTATCTCTCTCTCTATCTTTATCTCTCTCTCTCTCTTTCTCTCTTTCTCTTTCTCTCCACCCATCCGTTCATTCGGTCCCCTCTCCCTCCCTCCCTTCCTCTCCTTCCCTCTCCCTCATCCTCTCTTCTCTCCTCTCCTCTCCTCTCCTCTCCTCTCCTCTCCCCTCTTCTCTCTCTTCTCCTCCCCCCCTCCTCTCTCTCTGTTATTTATGTCCATTTTTTCCTGGTGGCCATGGTGGCCTATCGAACCATGGATACAGACTATCCATTTTTGTAAAGGTTTTCTCGTCTGGCCAGTTCTCAATATTCGTGTTCCATTTATCTATTTATTTACCAAGTCATTTTCCTTTTTTTGTGTGTGTGCGATTTATTTGTTTGTTGAGTTACTTTTATTTCTGTTTCCTTGGTTTGGGGCACCGTCGTCATGCAAGAGGCTAGCTTAGTGCGGGGTTGAAGCCAAATGTCGTTTTCCCGTTCTCTCGACACCCCGTCCTACGTTGTTAGTGTGATGAAAACGCCCTGAAATTCGTGTTTGGTCTCAATTAGTTGATGTTCTCTTCACTCTCCACGCCTGCTTTCTCTTACGTTTTTTTTTTATGTTTGTTGTGTGTCTTCCTGAATTCTATGTTTTATTTTTGGTTTGTTTTTTGGTTTTCGTCTGATTCTTTGATATTATTTTTCTTCGCTTCTGTGTGTATGTACACCCCCACACACACATACATATACAGTATCTCTCTCTCTCTCTCTCTCTCTCTCTCTCTCTCTCTCTCTCTCTCTCTCTCTCTCTCTCTCTCTCTCTCTCTCTCTCTTTCTTTCATATACACACAAACACACATTATCACATGGAAAAAGAAACTACATTTAGTGCATAATCTGACCCAGAACTTCTCATGCTCGAGATTCATGGTGAGGGAAAATTTGGCGAGGCTCCAGCAATACAACAGGTGCAGAGGCTGATGGGAAAGTTCTTGCTCCAGCGTTCGAGCCTAGGTCCATGATGTCAAAGATCGCGACGTCAAAAGGCCGCGGCAGCATAGG